TAGTGGGAGTGGGGAGGAAACATTTAGGAACTAGAGGAAAGTTGTATTTCTCATCATCGCTACATCTATGATGATACTTATCATCGATGTTTGAGAAGGACACTTGTACGGTCTAGATTATGTTAAGGACCAAGCAGACTGTAAGACATGACCCTATATCTTGATGTGAGCAACTGAACAGAATTAAAAGGATGATTATGTAATTTTCAAATTTAGAGAGCCTTTAAAGATGATCAAGTTTAAGCTTTAATTTTAAGTGTATGAGAATTACGATGCAGAGAAATGCAAAAAAAGCCACAATGAATTTTCATTACATGTATGTCAGAATAGTGAAATTAAAAAATATATGTTAGATGCTGGCAAGAATGCAAAAAGATTGGATCATTAATACATTTCTTGTGGGGACATAAAATAGTGCAACTCCTAGGGAAAATGTTTTGGAAATCCTTAAAAAAACTATGCAGTTAACATATGGATCAACAATTTACTGTTGGACATTTATTTCAGAATATTTTACTTACTAAAAGCCTATCTAGCATCTAAAGGGCATTGTTTATATCTGCTAGAAACAACCCAGAGGTTGGTCAGTGGGTGAATAGTTGTGGTAGTTACATAATCTTTTGTCAACTTGAGACTATTAAGAGTGAAGGGGTGAAGGTTACCCTGTCAATTAGGTCGCAGTTGATGACCTCATTTGGAGGCGCTATGGAGATAAATAGCTCATTGAAGACAGACCTACATAGACTCTCTCTGCTTGACTCCCTGTGAGACATTCCTGCTGACAAGTCACATGGAGCTACACTGATAGAACCGGAGCTCTAGAGCTGGAGGAGCCACGGGGAGACCCACGCCAGTTGCTGAGATACTTCTATCACCATTGGATCCACAAGTCTTTCCACCCACTGGCCTGTGATCTTCCAACATTTGGTGTCATTGCATGACTTCATGGTAGTAAAGAGGAATTTATGGACTTGTATCGACATATGGGGTAATATAAGACTTATGGAGTTGATATGGAATTTATGTACTACTATTGACATATGGGGTAATATCAGACTTATAGAGAGCTTCTTTTTTTATACACATATGAGTGTCTATGAATTTGTTTCTCTAGTCCACCCAGACTAACACAATGGTTAAACAAATTGTGTTAGGTCATGGTCAATCATTTGCAAGAGATCCATATTTGTACACATTCCAAAGAGAGATAATCAAACAGAATCAGAATTCAGAAATGATAAAACTATCATTAATGTCCCTTGAAATGCACATTTTAGTGAACATCATTCAACAACTGAGCTGTCACAAGCCAGATTCTGAAAAGAGGACTTGAAATGAGGGTTATTATTGATGATGCCAGATTAATCTTAGCTGGAAGCAGACAAAACTAGAAACATTTGTTTTGTTGACTATGCAGAGATATTTAACTCTGGATCATAACAAACTCTGGATAGCTTTGAGCAGAATGGGAATTTCAGAACATTTTGTTATGTTTATGTGGAATGTGTACATGGATTAAGAAGCAATCTTTCAAATAGAACACAGAGCACTACTCGGTGTAAAATCAGGAAAGGTGTGCACCCGGATTGTATTATTTCATCATACTTACTCAATCTGTATGCTGAGTGGATTCAGAGAAGCTGGGCTATAAGGAGAAGAACATGACATCAAGTTGGAGGAAGGATAATTAACAGGCCTTGATATGCAAATGATACTTGCTGAAAGTGAGGAAAACTTGAAGCAATTTCTGATGAAGATCAAGGACTGCAGCCTTTAGTATGGATTGAAGTTCAATGTAAACACACACACATACACACACACCTTGCAACTGAGTCAATAGATGACATTAAGAAGTCTGTGCTTAGATGCAGCAATCAAGTAATCAAGCAAAGTGTTGCATTGATTGAAGTGCATCTGGCCCAAGCCATGGTATTTTAAATAGCCCCTTATGCATGTGAAATTTGGATATTGAATAAGGAAGACTGAAGAAGAATTGATATGTTTGAGTTGTCAAAGAATATTGAAAGGACTGTGGACTGCCAGATGAACAAACAAATCTGTCTGGAAAGAAGTACATCAAAAAGGCTTCTTAGAAAAAAGGGTGGTGAAATTACATCTTATATATTTGGACATTATTAGGAGCTCAATCTCTGGAGAAGCACATCATGATTGGTAAAATAGCGGGAAGGTTGAAAAGAAGATGACCCTCAAGGAGATGGATTGGCACAGTGGTGATCATTAGTGAAACCCTAACATTAATTATGAGGACGGTCAAAGATCGGGCAGCTTCACTGTGAGTTGGAACTGACTTGAGGGTACCCAACAACAACTATTATAGCAAAAAGTACTATTGTTGTTGCTAGGTGCTGTTGTGTCCATTTTGACTCATAATGACTCCATGTGTCAAACTGTAATCCTTATGAAATCGGATACTGGACCTTTCTCCCACAGAGTCGTGAGGTGAATTCCACTTGCCAACTTTGTAGTTAGCGGCCAATTGCTGAACTGTTGTACATACTCTTCTGATTCGATATACCTAACATTTTAGAAACAACAAAATTAAAGAATGGGAAAACCAATTTCTAATTATCAGAGGTTTAGGAGGGTGTGGGGTGGGGTGAGAGGGAAGTGAGTATGATTACACAGGGGAAAAGGGCACCATGAGGGAATCTTGTGACGGAGGGAGATGGTCTATATTGATCATGTGGATAACAATGTCCTGGCCTTGTAGTAGTTTTGCAATTTGTTGCCACTGTGCAAAACTGCTGGGATTTCTCACAATGGCCTATCAATTCTCAATGGTCTCAAATCAAAAAGCTTAAATTTACCAAATATTAAGGAGCCTTGGTTAGTAAGATCAAAATATAAAGGCTTGTATTATCTAGAGGCTAAAAACAAAAACACATTGTATGAAAGAATTACTATTACTTGAATTAGATTTTTGGGATGCATAGTCTTCAATAATATTTATATTTTCAATGAATTCCCAAGCTGAGCTAATCAAATTATCTAATCAAATGACATAAAAATCCCTTTGAATATAAATGGCCAACTTGTCTTGCTTGAAAATACCAATGGCAAGCAATTCAGGGAGACGCCTAAGGTAAGGGAGGCACCAGCATTGTGTTTCACATGAAGGTTTGTGAAATTTAAAATTGTGCAATGTGCTAATTGAGTAATTAACCTTCAACCTAAAAGATGGTCTTTGATGTAAGATAAAAGCCATAAAGGTAGCCAAAGGACAGTCTTATTTGATGGAACCTGATAATGTAAGAAATGAGACTTTGCTTTAGGTATTAGGGAGAAAGTAGGCCAGGAAAAGGTGAAGGCATGGTTAGAAGTAGGGCGTCCAGAGACCAAGGAGGAGTTTAGTATTTCACTCTAGAATGAGACTGTTTG